CAAGAGGAATCTGGAGAGCACGAGCGACCAAGACCTAATGAGCATCCACAAACAACTGCAGACCTAGATTGAAGAGGAAGAGAATCATCACTGTTGAGTGTCATTGACACCAACAGCCTCTGCAGACATCTCTTGTTGGCTTCCATCTCCCGACGTCATTCCTGAATACCTCGGATCCGTTTTTGACGGAGCAGCACGAGAAGTATGCATCAGTCCCCCCCGCAGCATGTGAAATTGGTTCGCCAGTCACAGTAGTATTGGCTGCACCCACCGCTTTGCTGGAAGATGTGTCGTTTGCTCTGGAATCTGTGGTGGATCCATCGTTGCCACAGGAGGGAAAGGTGGTCCGGGATAGTGGGGGTTTCTTTAGCATCTCCGTCACTCCTCAAGTAAGGGGTCGGCACAAACTCACGCTCAAGGTAAAGAATGAGGTAATTGTGGGGAGCCCCTTCCAGGTGTTTGTAAAGATCCCTCCCTCTACATTAGGTCAGGGCCAGCTTGGTACGCTAGGTGGTCTCCAGGCTCCGTGGGGGATAGCTATAAACGACAAACAGCAACTCGTGGTATCGGTGGCTGAGCGTGATGGGGAAAAGGTAATGGTAATGGAGAAAGATGGAACAATGATTCAAACAATAGAGAGTGACCAATTGAAAAATCCTTGTGGGGTAGCTGTTGATTTGAACCGAGGGATCTATGTCACAGACATTGTTGCCAAAAGTCTCTTCAAGTTTAACTCAAAGGGAGAACTTGTCAAAGCGTTACAAGAGCCATATGGTATTAAGATCATTGACAATCTACTCTATGTCACAGACTATCAGAGCCATCTGGTGAAGATATTTGACAGGGACTGCAAAGTTGTTGGAGCTATAAAAACAAATAAGTGCCCAAAACCACAAGATGTGGCACTTGGTCTAGATGGCTTGTATGTGGCCGGGAAGGGGAAGATCGCTGTGTACAAATGTGCCCCAAAAGGAGGCCACGTAAATCTCACGCCACATTCACTAAAATTCTCAGAATTTAGTGGCATATGTTTTGATGCTAATGGTCATATCATTGCTTGCGACTGGAAAAATGGTGTGTATTTTTTCAAACCCAGTGGTGAGTGTGTTGGTCATGTCGGTAGTGATGTAATTCAGTCGCCAACTTTGGCAGCATATAATTTTTGTATAATTATAATGATAATTATAAGCAAATCTCTGCACTTGTCACTATAATAATTGAAAATACTATACCTTGTCACTTTGTGCCTCCTCAAAGTAACATATTCTTAATAAAATCTGTCATTATTATACACCCTAGGCACACATGACAAGGTTCAAAGTTATTCTATATACAGCACACGTATGGAGTACAGTAAACATAAGGAAGAAATTGCAGTAGTAGTAGCCAGTTCAGAGGGGAAACTGGACACAGCTCGAGTCGGGTACTGACGTTGATTTTGTCAACTTCAACAAACGGTCCGGTCCGCATCACCATAGATATAGTGTCGGAATACTAGTAGGCCAATGCAGGGAATTTTGGTGATCATGTGCTAGTAAGACATATCCTTACCCAACTGTAGAGTGGCTCACGTTAGAATATCCTCAAGTTTTGAAGGTTTATTTTTGTTAGATGAGACGACAAGCAGCCCAGCTATTGTAGTCAACACCAACCAACATATACGAGTGTGAAGAGTGAACGAGTGCCCGAAAACAATCCAGTGCCTATGTGTGCAAGGTAGAAACAAATCGTAACTTTCGTGAGAGTGCGGGGTCCCCCGTTGTAATGACTAAGTTAGCTCGCTCCATTATTCGTGAATTCACATAACTCATACTTGCCAACTGCCACGATTTTTTAGCGTGAAAGTCACGTTTTATCACCGTTTGTCCCGCCTGCACGCTTCGTACTACTTTTTCACGATGCGATCGACGGGGGATGCGGCGCGCACGCCCTCGTCGCCCAAAGGATCGAGGTTACGTGCGCCGCTGCGTTCACTAGTCACCAAGTATCTCTGCTGCTAAGCCAACTGGAAAACTGAGCTCGCTTTGTGCACTAATAGGTTATAATTCTAAGTCATGTTTTTTCAGCCACATGATCTCATAAAAATGTGCTAAGCATGCAACTATGGAGTATAACAGAGGACACACCTCTTGTAATTAACCATGTGGTAGCTAGCTATATACTGTTGGATTTGATGTCACTCTCTTTTGTACAATATCACTCTTTTTTTACAACAATTAGCAAGGATAACAGGTTGGTAGGTATGGAACTTCAGCGGCAGACGAAGGAGATTGTTTCGGCTTCGTTGCAAAACTCGTTGCTACAATTTATCGCAGATTGCAGACGCGCGTTTTAGCGCACCGAGCCATGGGGGGACAGTCTGTCAACCGTTGGTTGCCGGCCCTGCTGAGTCTCGTTAGCGTGCCGGTTTTTCTGCGCATGCGCACTGTTAACTCCGCGTAGTAAAGCTCTTCCTTGAGCGGAACTCAACCGTAATCCTTTCAGTCGAAAATTCAGGCTATATATAACTATTGAACATAGTCATAGTAAAATGAACTCATGTGACCTAAAATATATACTCATTTGTGAATCAAAACACCTGAGGCCAGGTTAGCTATAACCATGTTTTTCCACTGGTCAATGTAAGACATTAGAGAGCATTTTCCCTCCAGATTGCATTATTTTGTATAGTCCTCTGCTCTGGCAAAGCCAGAACCTAAGTTGAATGAACTTGAGAGGACCAAAAACCCCTAATGACTGTATATATTCACCGTAATAGGGTTTTACTAATATATAAGCTGCCAGTTTGCAAAAAGTGCACACTACTCAGGTTTAATTTCACATTCACATTAGTTTTTGGTGGTCTTCTTGGGTTCTTCAAAGATTATCAACTTTAGTATTGTGCTGCTGCTGCCTGCCATAAGGTGTGCAAGAAATGGTGGTCCTTTGCAGCAGGCATAATATTATTCAGAGAGTAAGAGTAACGAGCAGTTTTTTTTGGCTACAGTCCTGTGTGCCGAAAATGGCATAAACACAGAGTTAACTTGTTCGTTCTCTTGTTCAGTTATGACAAGCCACTCTAACCCGTAGTTAAAATCACTTCGCAGAAGACATGATAACAGACACACAAAGTTTTCGTGTAGATGCGTGCATGTTGTCTACTATAAGACGGGCATTTGGACATATTATCCTGAGACTGCCATCTGTCTGCACGTCACCCCTGATAACATCACATGCATGCATGTGTATGACACCTGTCCCAGTGTATGTAGTGTGTTTAGCTCGTAACTTGTGGCTAAGTTTGCTCCCTGTTCAGTCAGTGCAGTGATGATCAGACTTGCATACTTAGAGGGACCACTAATTACGGTAGTATACCGTAATTAGTATAAGGGATGGGCATGGTACCTAGCATCATAGATGTATGGGGCTATGATAGGTAGTTTTGTTCATCTTCTTCTTCTTCAGATTCAACACCCATAACTCAAAAACTAAACAACATACAGTAATGAAATTTTGTAAGAATGTAGATATCCGTCACCCGAAGAGACTGGTCATACTTATTTGTTGAAAACAACACTATTTACTGTAAACAACAACAAATAGCCTAAGGCAGTACATTATAATTGGATCACATGTGTCAGTATAACTCACGAATGGTAAGAGCTATGTGAACGAAACTTTGTAGACATAATGTATTCAATGATCACCAACATCAAAATCATTACTTCTTCACTTCTCAAACTTCCTAATGGTAGCACGGATAGAGATGAAACTTGGTATGCATACATATCACATCATTTCCATGACAACTATAATTATGTTTCCACGACGACTTTGAACAACAGCAAATAGTCTCAGGCACTTCTCCTCAAACTTGCTAACGGTAGTACACATTGAGATGGAACTTGGTACGCATCCATATTACATGACAACTAGCTACATGTTTCCACGACAACCACATATTGTTTGAACAACGACAAATAGCCTTATTCCTCAAACTTGCTAATGGGAGATTAAACTTGGTACGCATACGTATTACATCATTTCCATGACAAGTTTGAACGACAACAAATAGCCTCAGGCACGTACGCATGTGTATGACATTGTTTCCATGATGACCGGGCATATTGTTTGAACAACAACATGCTTCAGGCCTTTACTTCTTGACTGTTCAAACTTGCTAACGGTAGCACACATGGAGATGAAACTTGGTACGCATGCATATTACATCATTTCCATGATGACAGGCATTTTTCTCAATTATTTTTGTAGGGAGGCCGCCCCATTTCACAGAGATATACGTAGTGGTATATAAAAATGAGTGGAGACATGTAAATTAAAATCCTGCGATTTAAAAAAAAGATGGTATATAAAGGAAGGGAGGCAAGATAGGGATGGGATACATGAAGCATGGTTAATGAACAGATTTGAGCACGCTGACACCCCCAACCCCATCACACAATCCCTATATTGTTGCCTAGGTGAAGTATTAAACATTCAACATTACAACAGTCAGGACTTTCAGCTTGAAAACACAAAAATGTCATGCTACTGAGTAACCAAGGGTCCACTAGTGGCACACCAGGCAACAAGGGATTGTGTGGTGTCAGCGTGCTCAAATCCGTTCATTAACCATGCTTCATGGGTCCCATCCCTATCTTGCCTCCCTTTCTTTTTATACCATCCCTATATGCCTTTTTTAAATTCGCAGGATTTTTAGTAATCACTAGGCATCTGTGGAGAGTATTTCAAAGGAAACCGATAGAAATAACTGGCTGCTGATTATCTGGTCCATGGCTGCAAGCGTGCAAAGAGATTATACATAATATTACAAGCAAACGGGCCAGCGACGAGAAAGATGAAGTGGCACACTTCTCAGTAATCCTCTCAATTGTGTCATGCAGAGCGAGCCCCACCCCCACCCTTCATTGCAGGTCGAGGCATGCGCACATTTGTGCCCACGTGTTGGTATGGTGGGAGTCGGGTATTTACGAGCGAGGAGAAAGAGGAGAGCCAGAGTCTCTCTCTGCACTCGTAGCGAGATCTGGTACATGGAGGAAGAGTGTTCGCCGAAGATACTGGACCACTCGCTCGGCAGTGATGGAGCAAGTCCCTTCACCAACACTAGCACAAGCAGTCACGAAGACTCGAGCTGCGGAGAGCTGTCGCCGGAGAAGCCGCTGTGGGGCACTGCACCCGTGAGCGATGCCAGCGCCGAGTCCCCGCTGGGCTCCGAAAAACACCCCTCCACTCCGATCGCTCGTCTCATGGAGCGTACCGGCTACAGCATCGTCCAGCAGAATGGCCAACGACGCTACGGACCTCCACCGGACTGGGAGGGAGAGGCGCCGTCGCGCGGGTGCGAGGTGTTCGTGGGAAAGATCCCACGAGACTGCTTCGAGGACGAGCTCGTGCCAGTCTTCGACAAGATGGGCAAGATCTACGAGCTCCGGCTCATGATGGACTATTCGGGCCTCAACAGAGGTTACGCGTTCGTCGTGTACGGGGACGTTTCGTCGGCGAAGGAGAGCGTACGGCAGCTGAACAACTATGAGATTAGGAAGGGACGGACTCTGGGTGTTTGTATGAGTGTGGATAACTGCCGTCTGTTCGTTGGTGGCATTCCTAAGAAGGTCAGAATTTTGCCCAAACAATGCGTAGCTGATTAGCATGTATGCGATGCATACCAAACACTATGCTACCATTGCCTACTTCCATGCTAAAACCTACTGTTCCTGCATTCTTGCATCGGCCTGTGCATGCTGTGGCGTTATAACTGCGTGGATCATACTCTGTGTTTCAGTTGCATGCAAGTTTGGCTCCTATACCTCCACGACTGCAGGTGACCAAAGAAGACATCATACTGGAGGTGCAGAAGGTGACTGAGGGTGTGGTGGATGTGATTGTCTATCCCTCAGCAGCTGACAAAACCAAAAACAGAGGGTATGTTGACTTCTGCAAGCAATAACCAGCTAGGGGAGGTTAATCTCTGCTGTTTGCATTTGTGTGTGTGTGTGTGTGTGTGTGTGTGTGTGTGTGTGTGTGTGTCATACTCTATCATGCTCTATCATGCTGAAGATAGACTTGCTTGTCGCACTAATGATCACCTGGACTGTAGCTTGGCCCCCATGTGACAACATTTGCACTGTTAACTGTTAGCATGCAACAATAGTGCCACTTTTCTCCAGTTTACACTTCAATTTCTGGCCATATTTATTATTGTACGACAGAAAATAGTGGTTACAAACACTTATCTTGGAAAGAGAAAACGCTGCTGACTTATATTTCTGGAGACAAGACTGGAATGTAGCTCATGTGGTTATTTGTGGTTTGTTTGTGGTCCAGGTCACTAGTAGATTGGTCTGGTCTGGTATCCCTTCCAGTGGGTTCAAGAAGGAGTGTTTTTCAAACTCTCCCTCCACAATTGTAACCACCTCATGTTGAACTGAATAATCTCAGTTGGTGACGCCCCATGCCACGGTATATAGGGATGGGCATTGTATATGCCTAGCATCATATATGTATGGGGCTATGATAGGGAGTTTTGTGCATCTTCTTATCCTTCAAGACGAAAGGCTCAAAGACAAATTTTGTAGGAAATCCCCATGCCACTGTGTAAGTGTAATATTATTATTATGTAGGTTTGCGTTTGTGGAGTACGACAGTCACAGAGCAGCGGCAATGGCGCGGAGGAAGCTCATGAATGGCCGAGTGTTCCTCTGGGGGCATCAGCTGGCCGTGGACTGGGCGGAGCCTGAGCTGGAGGTGGACGAGGAGATCATGGCACAGGTGCAGCCAACAATTTTTGTCCCTTGTAGAGAGGATGTCCCGTCCCTATCTCAGACAGAGGTCAAATAATACACTGAAGTATTAGCATGAAGGGAGTGTGGCCTTATCTCAGGGACTCTTATCAGGTTCCACTTCCCTCAGCAGGCCTAGTGGTGTTTTGGGTTATAATGTGTTTTGCTATTAACACTAACTCATAATCTTATGAGGAAAAGACTCTATATACTACTCATGGTTTACCTACTACTGTGACACTGTGCTGGCCACTTCAGGTGAAGGTGCTGTACATCAGGAACTTGATGCTGAGTACCGCAGAGAGCACCATAGAAGAGGTCTTCTCCCGCCATGCTCCCGTTGAGAGAGTCAAGAAAATCAGGGACTACGCGTTTGTTCATTTTCACGCCAAGGAAGACGCTCACAAGGCCATGAATGCACTCAATGGTAATTTCCGCACTTGACACTCTCTCAAACTCCGTGTAGAGTATCTGTGCTGTATTTCGGACCACATTTTGAAGTGCTACACAATAGCTAGAGGGAGCCTCCGCATTTTCTTGGCAGTATTGTGACATGGTTTGTCTGATCAGGGACGCTACTGGATGGGGCTGAGATTGAAGTCATGTTGGCCAAGCCGGTCAACAAAGACACCTATCCCCGGACTCCCAAGTTCAACCGCATGGCCACACTCCCTGCAGTCAGCTTCATCCCAGTGGACAACTATGGCACCGTCCTCCCCACCTTCTACCCCACCTCCTACCCCATCCCTCCCAAGTCGGTTGTGAGCAAACAAGTACTCTGACCACGTAGGCAAAACCAGGAATTTAACTACATTTGCGTACAAGCTTTTAGAGATTCAGCATCCTTCTTTGGATACTTTACTTTTTGGTGTCCAAGATGGTATTGGTCACTCTTGTACTGAAACATAACCATGCCTGTTTAATGCCTGGTTTTCTATGTACATTGTCGCTTATGTTTTACTGTTCTACAAGGACAGAGAGAGACTTGCTGATAAGTTATGACAATACATTCACATGTTGCTTGTGTAATGTCATCTTGTGATCTGCAGTGCTGTGTAGTTATAATGGTTGCCTGGGTTTACATGCATGAATGGGGGAGAAACCTATATATAGGTATCTACTGAGATTCAGAAGCCAACTGAATTGTCTATCATTCACTGCTGTAGGTTCATGGTGAGAAACAGTATGGGAACATGTACAATGGTGAGGATGATGTGCGGGAACAGAGGTCCAGGGAGAGGTGGGCGGAGTTTCCTCCAACTCCAGCCGGTCCAGCCCAACCAGAGACTCGTCATGCCCTCTCCCTACTATCCGACCACTCCACGTTAGCCACACCCCTCCCTCCCTCCCTCCCCCACCTATGCACACAGCGTATGCATGGGACCTCAGACCTAGAATAGGGAGGGTTGTGTGCATAATTCTTGAAGACTTAGGGCTGAATGAACCTACATAGCTTAGAGAGGTGCTTGATTAAGCAGCCATGGCAACTACTGAAGTTCTAGGTAGCCTGAAGCCAAAGGCTAAGGTTACATGTAGACAATGGTAAAGGTTTTCATTGTAGAGTGGACAGTCTGTGTGCACTATTTGAGTGTGAGACATGGCCTATGTACTAACCTGTGTTACTGTTGTGATGCAGAGGGTTGTTTTGAGGCCAAGCAGTCTGAGGACCCTCTGCCAGGACCAGCTGGCTATGCCGAGCTGCAGACTCCTCCTCCCACTGCAGTGGCTGCCGTCACACAGGGCATCATTGTACCCAAGACACCCAAGAGCGCTTTCCAGGTATTGAGTGTGACGAGAAAGTCACATTTACAAAAACGTATGCAGATTTGAACCGGTTCTCTATGAATTTTCAGCATAAACTAAGCGAAATAGCTCTAGCTGTGCACTATTTCACTTTTGCAAAACAGCTAAACGCTATTGGGTGCAACTAATATAACACATAACTCTGCGTTTCAGTTCCTGGAGGAGGTTTGTGTGAAAAATTCCTGGCAGCTCCCACTGTACACCCTGCACACTGGTGACACCAGACTCTTTGTCTACAAGGTAAAGAGGATATGGTGACAAAGTGACAAGTCTGATGGATTTGTCCAGTAGGTCTTCAGGCTGGCCATAGTTGTCTAGTGGTGTGTATGTGTTATAATGGTGTCTACAGGAAAGCATGCATAGTCCGGTAGCACTGTGTTGGATATTGTGGAGGCATAAGCCTTTGGTCTTGGTGGTTGCATGTTGCAATGTTACCTTGTGCTGTCTTCCAGTATACACCTCTTTGAAACTTGTCACTAGTACTTTAATGTGCATGTGTTTGCAGGTGACACTTCCAAACCTTGGAGTGTCGTACATGCCTAGGAAACTGAGCAGGACTATGGACGAGGCCAGGTCAGCTGCTGCCGAGTATGCCCTGTCACAACTGGGCTTCTGCAGTGAAGGTAAGTTAGCCTACTAGTTACCCCAAGTAAATGTCTACATGTGTATTCTCTTCCACTATAATATAATTATTATGCACTCATTTGAGCCTAGGGGTCCTCTTCACTCCCCATTAATCTATTGAAGAAGCTGTGCACATTTGTATACCTGCCTTGTAGTAGATTGTTACGCCATGGAAGATGAAGGATTTTCCATTGCTTCACTCTGAACTGCAGACAGCACCACAACTTTGTGCCACCTTGTATGCATAGTTATTCAGTTGGAACGTTGCCCAGGGCATGTGTTATAGCTCTAGTAACGTATTCGTGCTACCCCTTGCAGTGCCGGCCACAGCAAGCGCGTTCCCAGCTGTGGCAACGCAGCCCCTGGCCCTGGCTGACTCCTCGGCTGGCTTCACTGCCCAATCTCTCCCAGCCGCTGCCTTCAGTCCTCACCTGGCAGCACCCAAACCAGTCTCTTGGGGACCGCCCACTGACCCAACCACTGCTGCCACCGCTGCAATCTATGCTCCACCCCATTACCCCGCCCATGACCCGTACCTCCCCCAGCAGATGTACCTCCCACCGGTCACTGGGACACCTGGACCGGCACACCAGGAGCTATACCCCCAGCCTCTCCACCTCCCGCCTCCTGCTCCTCACTCGCATGGATTTTAACTCATGTTTTTACCGTCTAACCGACTCCCGCTGTTTGTTTGTTGTCATGCAATTCCTCCCCCTCCCGAGCAAGAGCGTCGCGTCATGTCGTGACTTTTCTGGCTGGTTATATTTTCCTAGGAAGTGAACTGGGTAAATCAGGTCTGGTGTATATGTGCCCTTCTTGTTGTGTGTGTGTTGTGTTTGTGTTTGTGCCGTGTCATGTCTTGAGAGTTGTAGAGCAGCTCTGACACTGTCTCAGTCTGCATTCTGGCACTAGCCCTCAGCCTAGGTTTATATTCCATCCATGTGTATATTATATGTATTATTACGTGTATGTGTATGTATGCTATAACCATCAATACATGATTGTGCTGTATTCCCATTGATCATGAACTCTTTAATCAGCAATACACATGCCCCTGAAACGGACGGTTATAATGCAACACACGTTACGTGTTCTCCTAGTAGCTATATATACCCACCGTCTCACAGTCAGTGAGAACATTAGGACACTGACAAGCTGTACAACATAAAGTAAAGCTACTTCCGCTACTTCCACACTGGCACATCTCACTTGTGGGCAGCATTGTTGTGATCAGGACCATCCAGCATGGAGGCTGGTATTGTATTGACAGGTTTGTAGAGGAGACATCACAAGAACGTAACTAATCCAGGTAGCTATCTGCTTTCTTTCATTCCGCCTTGCCTAACAGCACCCAAGTGTAAAGTCATCTACATGTACGTAGCCCGCATGTTTACAACACACCTGTTCCTTTTAGTTTGTTGACACAGTAGAAGGAAACGAAAGAATAATATGACCGACCTTTCACAAAAACAAGTGCAAAGTTTCTGAATTCCCTCAGCACTTGTCCTATGACAAGGACCAACGTAGGGATAGTGTCTTCACCAATTAATTTTAACCTTGATAACTGAGAAGTACAATGGATAGTGTAGCCTAAGACATTCGGACATTCCTTGTCCTCCTATATGAATAGGACCAATATGTATAGCAATGAATGATCCTCTGTGACTTTGCAACAAAGTTTTAACCGAATCGTACAGTGATATATGAGGTGTACTCTTAAGGTATATAACGGTTGCTTTCCTGAGATAGAGGTGTAGTTTTTTGAGCATTTGTTAGCTATAGCTTGCTATGCGCTTTAGTGACTTGTTACATAATCCCAACTGATATATACCACACATCATCATGAATATCATGCACTATATTTTACCGTAGTCAGTTGTGTACACATAATGTGTTCTCAATTTGTTCCCTCAGAGTGTCATTCTCTGGCTGAAGACCTCTTGTAGATGTAGGTGGCAAGGTTGTACAGGGCCCAGATCAGCACAGGGACTTGGGATAAGATGAGAAGGGGCGTGAGCATCACTGCCAGCGTCTCATTGGAGGAGCTGTCATCTTCAAGGCAGAGGTAAACTACCAAAGATAGTCCCCCAAACAAAATGCAGTAGAAACTAGCCGACAAATTTCCAACTGTAGTCTTAAACGGTCTGCTATACGAGAGAAATAGTGATACACCAGATGCAACGAAAAAGTAAACCAAAATGTGTGAATATTGGCTGTAAGTTATCAGACGGACAATCTTGTTCCACATACCCAGCATGGGAATGGCAAATATAAACACTCCAGCAAATGCCCTGTGGTCGGTGGTGCCATTCAAGCCATTCTTGAGGCAGTGGTTCATGGCTTCCACGAATGTTGTTATGGCCAGTTGTTTTCTGACACTGATAAACTGTGAGGCCCATCTGTAAACTCTTGTCGGATAGAGAAAAAGCAGGAGGGATGGGATGAATACGACAAGCACACACTGGAGCAGTGCTAACAACAAAAATATAATGTGTGTACGACTGTAGTATTTAATACCAGTATCGGCATACAAAACCTGCTCAAAGACGGATGTGTTGACATTTGAAAATACAGGTGTGCGTTTAGTAAGTGAGGTGAAAAGAAACAACGACTTAGTCGACGATAGAAACAAAAACGAGGCAAATGTACGTATCACAGCATCAGTAGTGACTCTTTTGATTCTCGTCATTTTGAGAGCAAAACTTAGGAGCTTATTGTTCTTTCTTGAACATACGTCACTGAGAATGACAAAGATGATGACAAGAAAGAGTTGACAAAAGTTGGTGGACGAGTTGAGAAATATAATGTGTAGTCTTGTCAGTTTATCACTGATACAAAATGGAGGAATGATAGACTTAAAGAAATTGAGGTTCCAGAACTCAATTACCATCAGAAACATTCCCCCAAGGTACAGTGGTACATGCTCATAGACAGTATTATAGATAATGAATGGTGTTTGCATGAGAGCAATTGAAGTTCCCTGACAAAAAATCACATACGTTAGCATTGGACCAGAAAGAACGTCAAAACGGAACACCAGCATAAAACCAAAAAACAAGAGAGTGGGAACAAAATCTACCAGTATATAGAAGCAAACTGCAGAGCCCATTGAGAGTTTCGAGCAGTCAACACATTTTTCATTGATAGCGTTTAGTACCCCAGAACCGTATCCATCAATACACTTTCCACACATCAAACTATTTCTATTGTAGGGGCCACACATCATTTCATCCAGTAGATCTGGATCGGCAGGCAACCGAGAAAACAGTCTATTTGTTTTGTTAGGTTTGAAACTGAGCCGGCACTCGCCACTATAGAACAAGCCTTCTTGTCGGGAGTAAGTCACGCAGTAGCTACTCTTTATGAGCGCCTCCTTTGTCTGCTGGTTGCAGAGGATCCAGCTGTACTGAACCCCACACTCACACCTCTGGGTGGTGTTGCTGTAGTAGAACCACGTAGGACAGCTGTGGTTAGTTGCACTGACCGGGACTCCCAGAGCAGTCAAGCAAATTATCAACCAAAGTGGTGATGCCCCCATCGTGAAAATGTCACGGCTACCAATTGAGTAATTTACGACAACGGGCAATATTTATCCCCAGTGTTGCTAAAATAACATTTAACATCTGTCATTGAACAACACACAAGTGCTAGAATGCAATTAGTGAGCTCAGTGAAAGAATTTCTGTGTTGTCAAAACTTCTGGTAAAGACAGGTGTTATACAAGGGTGGTCACTGATCATGAGTTGCTTCTTGCTATGGTTCTGAGAAGATTTTTTGGAGGTGTGTGTGGTTTACGCCATTCTGTAATCGGGAGACACATGGCTTTTACGAGACAAGATTAACACATAGCCTGGAACCCAGACCTACGTCTGCAAATTACGAAAAAAAATTATATGTGGCCAATCTCACACACGTGCTCTCGCTTTTTGAGTGTGAGTATGAATCATTCTGAATCAAAGCACCAAGCAGATGTGTTATGGCTAACAATCAGTGAAGGACTACAAGTATGTATGAGACTGACAGCTCAATATAAGAGCACAATTTGCTCTTAGTTTTTCACAAGGGCTGTGCCTATTATATCCGACAGCTCTGCATTCTCACTACATTTGGATTATCGCAAGCAGGATATTAATATTTTCTTACTCGGCAGGCTGTGCCTCAGCAGGTCACCTTGTCCCATGCACGGTGCATGGTGTAGACTAGCCTCGTCCCCAGGCCCCACCCGCGAGCGAGAGGAGAGGGCCTGGTATCCACTGCTTGCGCATGCGCGGTATTTTATCGGAATGTCGATAAACCGTGTATTTTCCGTATACTTTCGTGTGACGCTAACGTCAGAGGAGAGTGGGTGGGGTCAGTCCAGTATAGCGCGCGGCAGCGCCGACAATGGCGAGTTCGATCGCGCTCTTCAATACGCCCTGCTCCAGCTTGGAACTCCAAGCATCACGCCAAAGCCCGAACAGAAGTATGGAGAGATCCCGTCCGTCTTAGTTGGTAAAGCAATGTCCAGGAGAGTGCTAATTCTCAGACCCCAATTGCGCACAGTGCCTCTCTTGCCGAATAGCGACAATGAATTGCTGGCGGTCGTAGCTGATCGGCACAAGCGACACACACAGGAGCCAGCTACATTTTGCATACTCCACGTGTTGTTTACGAGAGCTAGCGTAGTATGGGATCCTTATTCCTACATACGTCATTTCCATTTGGTCTTGACGTAGTTGCGCTACACCCACGTTGCGCAAGCAGTGGATACCAGGCCCTCTCTAGCTCTCGCGCGGGTGGGGACGAGGCTAGGTACGTGTGTACGTGTAGACGTAAGGCTATACCGTACGCATGCGCGGCACCGTTAATTGGTGGGCTGGTCCAATTTTACCGTTTTACTAACTCGTGGTCGCTTACCAGCTCGCTGAGAGTCGGTCAAAGGCTTCACTTGCTACACTGCTAGATAGCACGCAGGAGTCGATACTCGTCCTGCGTTGCAACTTCTGGTGCCTCCAAGGTATATACGTACGTAGAGCTGGCCGAGGTTGCGCGAAAACGGGAACGACAAACCAAGTACTAAACCCTCGCTGCGCATCCTCGCCGAGGGTTAATAACTTTCAATTGCAACAAAAAACATAACTATTGGGACTCAAGAACATTGGCTTTCCAAAGACAAACAACGCCTCTTGTGTAAACAGCTGGAGATCCTTTTAACTGACGCATCTTGTGATGTTAAGAGACATGATTTTCTGTATGTAAAAGGTGAAGACTGGCTTCCTGGATTTCACTGAAGTCTGAGTTAGAACTATGATTTTTGTTGCAATGATAGCACTAATTAGCTTACTGGCCAAAGCCCAAGAAGTGTCATCTTCCAACCATGTTACTGATGGTGTGTGTTCCAAGCCCTGGTTTGTCTGGGTTAATCATACTTGCAAGTGTGGCAAGTCTATTAACCATATCATCAACTGCTATGACAATGATCAGCGTGTTAATATCAAGTACTGCTACTGCATGACATTCGACCAACACAATAAGTTAGCTTTAGTTGGAAGTTGTCCGTATACCTGTGGAATTGAACAACAATGGTCCTCAAATGGAACTGATCTCAACAGACAGTTGTGCAGAAAGACATGGAATAGACAGGGTCAACTCTGCTCTCAATGTATCGATGGTCATGGACCTCCTGTTTACTCTTACAGTATGCAGTGTATTCCATGTTCTCCGGAGGTGGTGAGAGATTCTATTGTGTGGTTTCTGGTATCATTTCTGCCTCTGACAGTTTTCTGTCTGACAATCATCACTCTGAGGATCAGTGTGGCCAGACCTCCCATGAGCACCTTCATTCTTGTCAGTCAAGTCATGTCTGCACCTCAGTATCTCGCTCTTTTCTTCATACCAAATGGAGAGCATTTCACTGTGCAAGCAAAGGCACATAACATTTGCTGGAAGTTATTTGCTACCTTTTTTGGCTTATGGAATATGGATTTTTTCCGTTCTGTGTATCCTGACATGTGCCTCAGTCCTCACATGTCTACTTTACAAACGAAATTCTTGGAGTATGTGATTGCTCTCTTTCCACTAGTTGTGCTACTTGTGGTGTACTTTGTTATAAAGCTCTACAACAAAGGTCACAGGATCGTATTCTGTTTGTGCAGACCAGTAGTATCCTGTCTTGCCCGACTAAGGCAGAGAGTGGACATTCAAACCTCACTGGTTGACGCCTTTGCAACATTCATAATCCTAGCTATTAACAAAATTGGCTATACTTCTCTCATTATTTTGCAACCAGTATATCTCCATGATCCTCATGGTAGGCTTCATAGTCTACATGCCTATGTTGATCCCACTGTAGAATACTTTGGTTCGGACCATCTCCCCTATGCTCTGACAGCTCTTGTCCTCAGTTTTGCCTTGATTCTGATTCCACTGCTGCTCCTCTTTCTCTATCCTTTGAGGTCATTTCAGACCTTTCTGAACAACCGCCAGTGGCAGTGCACCACCCTGCACATATTTGCAGACTCATTTCAAGGCTGCTATAAGGATGGGACTAATGGTACTAGAGACTATCGCTGGTTTGCTGGACTACACCTTCTACTGAGATTTATTGTTATCCTTTTTTACGATATTTCAAGTTACTACCAGTCAAGCAGCTTTTTAATGGTTACCACTGTTTCAGGTTATATGGTTTTGCTTGCTGTTCTTCAACCTTACAAAAAGTACAATCACTTAAGGATGGATATGATTCTTCTGTTCGGCTTGCTATCCTGGTGTACAGCACTCTCTGCTACTGTACTGCACAGTGCCTCATATGGTTTGATCAACTTCATCACACATCTGACTCTTCTGGTCCTGGCAAGTTCAATTCCATTTATTTACTTCATTGGAATCATTTTTCACTGGCTACTGGTGGCAAAGAAATTTTTTATGTGGGTTATAGTGAACATCAGAGAAATACTACTTTTAGTTAGAACAAAGAGGCTGCTGGACCATTCAGCTTAGCTGAAATACATGTGCATGTTGTAATAAACTGACTATTGTCCATTAGTCACATACTTTATTATAATTATGTTGAAATGTTACAGTTGGAATCAGCACGGGCCTAGCCATAGGTGTAAGCAGCATTAGCATAATCTGATACAGATAATATAGTTGGTCAGTGGTAAGAAGTATGCAGATCATGGGTTAGATGCCACATCAATATACCACAACATTATCTCAACATTGGTAATGAAACAGTATTAGGTGCCATACCACCAAACAATGTTTGATTCAGGCTTGTTTTTTGCAAGAAATATCTGCTTAAATGTTTTTAGCGACTGCTTCCCTCCCAAAATCCAAACCTGGCCTTACTAATGTCAGAGTCCAGATTGCATGCTATTCCCGTCAAGATAGGTCCATCCAGGGAGAATGTTAGTTTACCTCTACCTTTGGGTCCCTTGATGGTTCATATTTACTGCTAGAACCACAGTTAGATGGCAGAGGGGGGTCACTGTTGATGGCTTCCACGTATCCCTTTTGACCTCGAGCAGGCCTCTGCCTTGTAGTGGATATGGAGTGAAGTGGATGCGTCCCTGTATCTATGACCAAGTATAGTAACAGGTTGACTGGGCCCTCTCATATGAAGTGGAACGTCCAATAATGGACCCTCTGAGATAGGGGCGACCTCTCTACAAAGGACACTTGTTTCAACCCCTTGCTAATACTTTAGTGTATTATTTGACCTCCGAGATAGGGACGACCTCTCTACAAGGGACAAATCGTTGGTCCCATAGTGTACCTTATTCGGAGGTTCTACTGTACACACATTTCTCCCAAAGAAAACACTACATGTGCATTGGTAACATGTGTGTTGTGCATACACAGAATTGTGTTGTGTCTTGCCACAAAAACTTTCAGAAAGACCTAAAAACAACTTACATTATAGTACGTAACTAAGCCATTTTAAAGAGTAATCAAGCAATGTTAATTCCCATGGAGTTTTTGGAGCAAACGCACACTAAATGGACATTTCTTACACGCAATGTGGGAATTGTAGGTAGCTAGACAGTGTATTATCTAGCACAGTGAGAATGCTAACGTTGCTGCTCTTGGTTATTCTGACAAGCTCATTGGCTCAAGCACAACAACTGAGCTCCAACTATGGTGTTGAGAATTGCTCTAAGCCCTGGTTTGTCTGGCACAACATGACCTGCCAATGTAGCCAGTTCCTAAGCAGTATAGCTAGCTGCTCCAATGGAAGTCTAATAAAGAAGTGCTACTGTATGACTGTGGATGAACAGTCAAATAAGACTGTCGTCGGAACTTGTCCATATACCTGTGGACAACAGCAACACTGGAGCTCAAATGAAACCGATTTGAACAATTTGTGTGTGGATTCATGGAATAGACGGGGTCGACTCTGCTCTCAATGTGTAGCTCACCACGGTCCTCTGGTGTATTCTTATAGTATGCAATGTATTCATTGTCCCCCTAAGGTGGCGAGGGAGTCTATTGCGTATTTTATAGTTTCGTTTCTTCTTCTGACAGTTTTCTGCCTCGTTATCATCACTCTGAGGATCAGTGGAGCCAGACCTCCCATGAGCACCTTCATTCTTGTCAGTCAAGTCATGTCTGCACCTCAGTACATGTCACTGATATTTGTACCGCACAACAAACAATTTGTATCGTCTCGCTTTGTGAGTGCGGCTTTGCATGACACCTGCTGGAAAGTTTTTGCTGCTTTCTTTGGTCTGTGGAATTTGGACATCCTTCGCTCCTTTTACCCCCACATATGCCTAAGTCAAAACATGTCAACCTTACAAGTTAAGTTTTTGGAGTATGTGGTTGCTCTTTATCCCTTAGTGATATTGCTGGTTGTATTTTTCTGTGTAAAGCTATACAATCGCGGCTACAGGGTCATCTTCTGTCTTTGCCGCCCAGTAACCACATTTCTTGCACGCCTTCGACAAACTGTGAATGTTCAGGCATCTCTAATTGACGCCTTTGTGACGTTTATCATCTTATCAGTCAACAAAATTGGCTATACATCGTTTATTATTCTTCAGCCAATGCATCTTTATTCTCCAGCGGGTAATTCCACTCTCCACACCTACATAGACCCGACATTGAGATATTTTGGACAGGAAAATCTTCCCTATGCTCTGATGGCTCTTTTTCTAACCATTGTCTTGATTTTTATTCCACTACTGCTCCTCTTTCTCTATCCTTTGAGGTCATTTCAGACCTTTCTGAACAACCGCCAGTGGCAGTGCACCACCCTGCACATATTTGCAGACTCATTTCAAGGTTGCTATAAGGATGGGACTAATGGTACTAGAGACTATCGCTGGTTTGCTGGACTACATCTTCTACTGAGATTCATCATTGTGTTTTGCTATGACACTTCAAATTATTACAGGGTGAATGCTGTCCTTATGGTTATCAGTATTGCGCTGTATATGGTTCTACTAGCGATATTTCACCCGTACAAGAAGCACCTGCACTTGAGGTACGATATGCTTCTCCTCTTTGGCCTGTTGTTGTGGTGCACTGCTCTCCAAGTGTCTGTGATGCAGTTTGATTCATTTGATGAGTACGACTTTGCCATGCACCTGTTTCTCTTAGTTTTGGCAGCTCTCATTCCGTCTGTTTTCTTTGCCGGGATCATCCTCCGATGGATCATAGGAAAGAAATTGCACTATTGCATGATGCTAAGGTTAAGACGAATGAACTCTTTGCGTGGTTCAATGAGGCCTTTCAATAATAGACCTTTGTTTACTGACGATGATGACGAGAATTCTGGTGTTGACACGTAGTGGAGGATTTTGGGAGTTTGAGAATCCTTTCAGTGTTGTTACTTTAGGAAAGTGACTATGTGTTGTGTTGATAGTGTTTCTCCCAACAATGTATGCATTTGTTCTTTAGTCTACGTTTACCTTAAGAAATGTCTACATCAAAAGTGTTATTATAGTCATCTTGTTTTTCAGTGCTAAACTTAATAGTTTTTGTATCATGCTTAGACTGCATTACATTATAAAACATTCATTGCACACCTTGTAACTTCAGTCAAAAATCCAACTGTAAGGTGGCCACTATAGCTGGTAATGAGGAAATTTCTGGGTCATCTAGCTACCACCTGACTGCTTTTTTTTTCAATGCAGAGCCTAAGAAATAATTATGTTGTTTGGGTGAGTGTTACCAGACATAAGACGCAATGTTTTACACACCTGATGAAAGTTTCAAAACTTTAAAGTACATATCTGTGCATCAAATTGTCCTGTGATCATTGCGCCCTCATATGTTAAACTGAAAAGATAATATTATGCACATTTATCAATGGATTGTTTTGGGCAAAAACCATAAATTCTAGGTTGAAAAAACTGTGCAATGCCAAACCGTGCTGTCCTTTGAGTGAGTTACATAGGAAAAAGAAGAAGGTAAAAAGCAATGGGAGTAAAATTGCTGTGTGATGTGTCTTGCCATTTAAAAGAATGGTCATCACTCAATATACCCCACACCTACCCGAGTCTGCTGTGATATCACTTTCACTGAACTATCATAGAAAAATAGGATAACACCGTGCCATGTGGTCTAATAAAACTGGCTCTGTATCAGCGAGGTACGTAACTCGCTGACATGGACCCATGCGCCAGTTGTAAATATCTACATCTCTGTGCATGCGCGAAAAATCACACTACTTGACACACACAGAAGACACTCCAAATTTATTTAAGTTCTTCTAGCACACAAATTAGTCATCTGAGCAAGCATAATAGCTAATTGGGACTGGTTGAAAGAGCAATCTGAGTGAGCCTCTCCCCAGCCTCCTCTGGAGCAGATATGCCAATCTCGTCACCAGCCAGTGTGTCATCACAGACTGCCTCTGCTGGGTCCAGGGACATGTAAACAGCACTGTGTTTGGGAGGAAACTTGTTTACCAACAAATTCGGTAGACAATTTGATAGACCTTATTTTAGAGAGGCAAGGTATATACTTCCCAAAACACAGCACTATTGCATGGAATCATGCATGTAGCTACAACCACAGCTACTCACTTTGCTACGTTCAGTTCCGTGTCTTCTGTTGCAGCTAGCTCTTTTATTCCCGTGTCTTTGGTAGCTATAATAAAATAATTAATAAACATTTTGGCTAACACACCTACAAAGATAGTTGGTATGCAGTTACATCTCCATGTAGAAAGAAAGTTTGCATACAGCTATGCACACCTGTAACCGTAATAATTTGTCACTGTGTCGGGAGTCCTGACTTTCAAACTTGGTTGACCTACTAAAGCCTAACTTTTCTTTAGCATTTGGCTTTTAAAAAACTACCTCCTTTTCAGCAATGAGAATGAAAACTGAATGCAAGTTACCTCTGCTGCTAAGTTTACTCTTCTGTAGTTTCACTGCAAGTACTATTACCAGTACCACGGTAACTGAAGCTACAATCACCACTGCCATCATTCCAACACTCATACCCACTGCCAGGGATGTAATAGTGCTGGAATCACTGTCTGGTGCAGATTCGGTGACCTCACTCATCCCTAAAAATAGACGGTAGAATCGTTACACCTTCAACGCTTCTTAGAGTGGATATAGTGTTTACTTCGTACGTACCAAATTCGCTAGCTTTCGAAGTGTTAGTACACATTTCTTTCACCAGTGGATCTCACTTCACTGTCGCGTCGACTTCGCGCGCGGCACTAGCACGCATGCGCACGGCGGGACAGATTTACAAAGGTGCAAGGCCGGTGTAGTTTGTGTGCTGAGGTCAAGGGTTTGTTATTTCCTGTCTAAATCATCGGCGATACGGTGCTGCTAGCTTTTCTGTTCTGACTTGGAGAATGGCGCGTCACGTTGGCTACCAGTACTTCTCGGTTGTGATGATCGCACTATCCATCGTAAGTCTAATGTTTGTACTTAGCTATAGTTCTACGAACCATTACTATCGGACAGGCAACTGGAGTAGAGTCCAATTATACACTGGAGATACTATTGTTGGGCTATGAAAACCCATCTCATATGGCCAAATCACTGGAAAACTTCAGATCTGGATGCTGTGAACTAGACACAACTACTCCCTGTAGACCTTGTGACAATGCCTTTAGTGTATGTGTTCGTGAGGTACGACTTGGAGTAGTGGAGGGTGACTGTGACCTGCTAGAGGAAAGCACGCTAATAGCAGAAGACGATGATGACCTAATGTTTACAATTGGAGAAGATATTGGTGGATTATCAAATCCACTAACAGTGTCTGGAGAGATGTGGCCTGTGAGTGTATATCTATAAATAATGCTACCTTTCATATTCTTGAGTTTTTGCCAAACTCAGAAGGTAACTTGTAATTTTCAAGATAATGCATATTGCCAAAATCTGCTGTGATGTCAGAAAAAGGGCCCGGATACTTTGTATCATTAAAAATACATGTAGCTATACTTGTGGAAAGCATTTGAGTGTCCTTTCCATCTGTTGCAGGGGACAGTTGAGATAGTGTTCACTGTCTTTGACCTTGATCTGACGTCCACCATAGGAAGCAGCTCTGACTTAGTGGATAACGTGTTCATTTATCCTGATGTACCAGCGGGATTATCAGCTAACGATCCATTCTCTGATCCAACGATATTCACCGGCAAAGCCAGTTACTCTCACCTTGAGCTGGCCTTCAGACTCACCTGTGGACCCCACTTCTATGGTCCAAACTGCACTTTCTGTGTACCTAGCAATGACTCCACTGGCCACTACTCCTGTGATGACAGGACGGGGAGCAAGGTGTGTCTGGAGGGCTACCAGGGACCAGAGACCAACTGCACAGACTGTGTTCCAGCCAGTGACTGTAGTGAGTGACACCCTCTGTATAATGACATATTGGATAAGACTGTGCGTTATTTGCAGATCATGACGGAGGATACTGCATACTACCTGGTGAGTGTCTGTGCCACAGAGGATTCACTGGAGACTATTGTGGTAAATTGACTGTAGCTAGTTAGCTACGTACCTCTGTCCTTCCATATTAATTTTTACTCTATTGCAGATTTATACACAATAACTACACACCCAATCTCTCCCACAACCCTCAACGGTTTGTAATGCCTTCCTCTATGCAGTCTATGACTGTGTATTTATTGAGGAGAGTATGTATTACTTTTCTACACAGCTCTCTACTACAGAAGCGCCCACTTCAACCTCCCCGCCGACTGAAACACTGGATGTGTATGCTAGTGTGGGCCTAGCCAGTGGTGCAATATTGATCGTGGTTGTAGTTGCTGTAGTTCTGATGAATGTGACTGTGTGCTGGTGTTGGATGAAGAAGAACAGAGCCAACAAGACAAAGTCAGTGGTGCTCTATGATTACATCAACGACCCCCCAACTGATGACACAAACATTCTGGAAACTACCAACCCTGCCTATGTCACAACCACTCCTGTCCCCGTCTCCACAAACGAGGCGTATGGCATGTGTACCAATGATGTGTCTAGTGAGACCCACATGACTATCAATGAGGCCTATGGTGATGCTACTACTGGTGTGCCTGTGTATGAGGAATGCGATATTACCACTGATGTCCACACATCCACCAATGAGGCATATGCTGCCACAGCAGTGCCTAACAACTAACAATACTATGTTACTCTGAAGCTGTAGTAGGAATCCAATACTTACTATGTCTTCCATCCACCACATGTAAACCACACATGGACTATTATCTAATAGTTATTGTATTTTGCGTGGGCGAATCAAAGGCGCCGCCAGTACTATATTCATCATACACAACGGTTTTTGAATGAACTGTACTATATCGCGCGGAACTGTACTAAACTGTACTATATCCGCGGACTAGCGTACGCTTTGCGGGAATGACGAAACAGCTGCTGGAAGGGCGCTCCGCGAGCTTCTAGTCCTTCTGAACTTGCAAAAAAAAGATCGCCGCCTTATCCGCGGACTAGCGTACGCTTTGCGGGAATGACGCCCTCGGCGGCATTTCGTAGACGGAGTTCGACTCAGACGGTGACACAAACCGCTGCTGGAAGGGCGCTCCGCGAGCTTTTCGCCCTCTCTTCCGTTCTGAACGCCGGTTTTCCTGGTCGCCGCCTTTTGAATCGCCCACGCATACAATAAATAACTGGTACTCGGAACGTGGTCTCGATAGATCATAGGCTGCGCCTCGTGCTGCTGTGCTTAGGACTATCTCGACCACGCCCCTCGTACATTACTAGTGGAAATGCTTGGCATTCTTTGGGCGAGCGGAGCGAGAACTCAAAGTACGCTGAGCTGCGGGAACTATATACGCGATTTAGTGAGCCGAGGAGCCCTGAGCTGTCGGCGTCCAGAGCGCAGCGAGGGCGCTACTAAGGGCTCCGAGGCTCACTAAATCACTTAGTTTCCCAAGGCGACGCGTCTAACCGGCTTAGACTACAGCGCAAGCCCGTCCCGCTGCAGTGTCCGTTGTAGGCGTCGCTGCCCTTCGGGATCGCGCCGGCCGGCCGTTTGTGTACGCGTTTTTCCCTGTACGCTTTCTCTAGCGTCTTCCTAGCTCTCTAGTAGTCATGCGATGCTGCTAGAAGAGCCTGTTCCTGGTTTATTCGTGGGAAGAACCTCTCCAGAAGCTCGGTTCACCGTCCGCGCGCGTGGCGTCTTTTCGAATTGAAGGCGTGGTTGCCGGGGCTACGAATAGTTACCGCGGAGAGGTCACTAACAAAAATAGCCACCGCTAAACTCGCAATCTGATTGGTCAATTGCGTGTTACCGTAGTCTAAAGTACGTATAATATACAACCATCTACTAGCTACGTATAATAATTATACGTAGCTAGTAGATGGTTACCTACAGGTAAAATGTTTCAGCAAGTAACGTCAATTAGTCACGCTTAGGAATGTCAACTTCCGTCATTCGTAAGATCCGCCGTGATGGCACGCCAAACGTAACAAAAATCGGCCTTACTGTAGAGCGTTCTACAGACACTCTAGAGCGTCCTACAACGGCCAAACTCTAGAGCGTCCTAGAACAGCCAACCCCTAGAGCGTCTTGGAGAAACTCCAGGAGCATACGCATGCGCCGTAGTAGTATGGAGGAAAGATTGTTCTTGCAGCGGAGTGACTGACGTGCCTTATCGCCTTCCATATGGCCGACGGTGGGGAGAACGTGACCTCTGAAAACGAAAATCTAGAAGTGAATCTCATTGACAATGGGGCTGGTCCACTCACTGCACATACACAAATAACCAAGGGTCAAAGGGCAAGAACAACCATACTACGGCGCATGCGTAGTATGGAGTAGTTCGAGTGCGCTGGAGTTTCTCTAGGACGCTCTAGGGGTGGCTAGGACGATTTGGAGAGTCTGTGGGACGCTCTAGAGTTTTGCCGTTGTAGGACGCTCTAGAGTGTCTGTAGAACGCTCTACAGTTTGGCCGATTTTTGTTACGTTTGGCGTGCCATACGCGCGATCGCGAACGAGCGGCCTCCCAGCGGGCGCACGCGCATTGACTGGCAGGCGCGAGGCAAGATATGCGCGTGCGCATACACATGGCCGGCCTATACCTGAAAGGATTCCTCATATGCCTACAGGGTGTAATCACTAGACAGAGAGTCTTGATGCTTAGAACCGAGTTTCTCTGCGGCACATCTCTCATTCATGGTTTCATCTAGAGGGGGACAGGGGGTGAAGTTCCCTCCCAAACATCCTAGTATCCCCACCCTCCAAGCAATCAGCATTTTACATCCTTGAGAGAAGGTGAGAGATTCATGGTCCCTGTTCTGACTTTACAAGAGCAAGACCATTATTTTTCTGTCCGCTATGAAGAAAACCTTGCATGGGGCTTTCTCATTGATTACTGTTTCATCCCATGTTAGCTGAGGCTTTGAAACGAAAAGGAAAGGAGAAGGTCTTTATCTAACTGAAAGGAAAACACTGCCTCCCGCACTTCATTGGAGATAAATAACTAGCTAACTAAGGGCAACTAGAGTGTCATTTGCTAGCTATATGCTCAGTGAATGATGGCAAAGGTGTCCCTGTTACTCTGTTCTGTACTTTCATTAGCATTTGCTGGACACCAGGATCGGTTTGACACTCTGAGAAATGATGTTAGTGATGGGAGTAGTTGTCCTCCGTGGTTCATCATAGAGAGAAGTGGAAGCAATTGCACATGTGGAAGTTCAGTAGATGGGATCATTAGCTGCCATGACGGACTGAACCGAGGACTAAAAATAAAAAGCTGTTACTGCATGACATCAGACATATTTAATGCTACGTTACTAGGGAGCTGCAGCTATACTTGCCCCAGTTGTGCTCAGTGGTTTCCAGACCAGAGGGAATTGAACTATCACCAGTGTACTGAGACATGGAAGAGAACTGGACGTCTGTGTGCTCAATGTATAGATGGTCATGGACCTCCTGTTTACTCTTACAGTATGCAATGTATTCCATGTTCTCCGGAGGTGGTGAGAGACTCTATTGTGTGGTTTCTGGTATCATTTCTGCCTCTGACAGTTTTCTGTCTGACAATCATCACTCTGAGGATCAGTGTGGCCAGACCTCCCATGAGCACCTTCATTCTTGTCAGTCAAGTCATGTCTGCACCTCAGTATCTGGCCTTTTTCCTCAGACCACATACTGCGTCTAAACTAGTAACACACAGCTTCCACGAGTACTCATGGAAATCATTTGCCACTTTTTATGGTTTTTGGAATCTGGACATTTTTCGCTCCTTCTATCCTCAGATGTGCCTCAGCCAAAACATGTCCACTCTACAAGCCCATTTTCTAGAGTATGCGATTGCCCTCTTCCCACTAGCCATACTGATGTTGATCGTACTCAGTGTGAGATTCTACAATCGCGGCAACCGAGCCATATTCTTCATCTGTCGCCCTATACACTCTTGTCTTGCTCGTTTCCGGAGGACCATAGACACCAGAAACTCCTTGATTGATGCTTTTGCGACATTTATTATCCTCTCACTGAGCAAAATTGGCTACACCTCTTTCGACATTCTCCAGCCAGTGACAGTTTTTTCTCCAAATGGTAATCACAGCTTGTTTGTTTACATAGATCCTACACTGAGATACTTTGGACGGGACCATCTCCCCTATGCTCTGACAGCTCTTGTCCTCAGTTTTGTCTTGATTCTGATTCCACTGCTGCTCCTCTTTCTCTATCCTTTGAGATCATTTCAGACCTTTCTGAACAACCGCCAGTGGCAGTGCACTACCCTGCACATATTTGCAGACTCATTTCAAGGTAGCTATAAGGATGGGACTAATGGTACTAGAGACTATCGCTGGTTTGCTGGACTACACCTTCTACTGAGATTCGCTATTGTGGTGCCTTTCAACTGGCGAATATCATCGCAGTTGCACACACTTATCATTATGCATAATTAGCCATCCTTTTACATGTGTTGCTATCAGTACTTCCAGCCATCACAGACAAGCATGGCCCACTTGTACAAGACGTGATCTTGCGTTTGCCTACTGCCTGTGGAACACTGCAGAATGCGAGTTGGGCTGTTGGATATATACGGGAGAGATCAAGACGTGCTCCGACTATTGCAAGTTCATCTACGATGCTCGTACTGGGCTCCTTATTCGATAATGTAACATTATAGGGACTTGTTATCTACTGGCTGGCAGCTAGTCACGGAAACTCACATCAGGATAGTGACAACCGTTTTAGACAGAGGTTTGCTCTGGGGAAGAATGAGGCTCCTGCTGGTTGATTCCAGGGAACTAGAGGGCTCTTTACTA